TCTGAGAAACAGGAGCCTCTATGATGTTTAATAGGGTGATATCCCCTCAGAGCTGCTAGCGCTGCTGCAGAGTCGGTCTTGCTGTGTGATATTTCATCCTATAATTATTGACTTGTCATTTAAATTTTTTTTCATCCTCTTTAAGTGCAATCATTAACCATCTTCAACCGAGATTACAGTGGGTTTTAACATTATGTCGAGGGCTTACTGTACAGCTACTGCACTTCTTACCTCATCATAAACTCATAAAGTCAAAATAGTTTACTTTGAGGCAAACAGCCTTCAAATTATATAACTAATGTTACGGCCTTCCATGTTTGGCAGAGCAGTTAATGACTGTTTATACCCAATCATAATTTCAGTGCTGCTAGTTTGATCAAAGAAGGTCATTTGTACTTTTCATATATTGAGGAAAATGGTTTTCTTAAAATGTCTTGTGTGCAAATTGTATAAACCAAAAGAAAACTCGATGTCAGCCCAAGTTTAAAAATCCATTTTGTAGCAAAACGTAGGGCTTATTTCATTTCCCCTGCACGCTGGGAGAGTATTTAAAATGACGACAGATCAGGGGGCATTTTACAGTTAAAGTGGTTTTGTTGCTGTGGTGTCATCGCAGGAGTACCGTGGCCTTCTGTCCCACTTTTATTGAGGATGGCTGGTGATAAATGATTCAGAGAATCCCACTCCACTTGTGGTGCTTTGTCTTCTTCTCAGGCACAGAGGATCAGAAAATCCCTCTGAGCTTGCTCACCTACCTCTTCCACATCCATGTGTGCCGACTCCGCCTCGCTTTGTAGTCCTTGACAAGGAGTTTTAGTAGTAACCTCCGTGACGTGGGTGCGTCTTTGCTGTAGTGCCGGGGAAATCCTCAGGGAAATTTCTATTACCTTTCACCAGATGTCTGTTTGTTGAGCAGTAAAAGAGAGTTTCTATGGCACATCTCATTAAATACGTGTACCTATTATATCTCCTTTTCTCTTTCCCAACAGATACATTGGAAAATCGGATTCCATCACCATCAGCGTGTGGAATCACAAGAAGATCCATAAGAAGCAAGGAGCTGGCTTTCTGGGCTGTGTCCGCCTTCTGTCCAATGCTATCAACCGCCTTAAAGACACAGGCTGTAAGTGCCAGTGATGCTTTAATGTATCTGCCGCACATTATGATGTTTAATTTTCCCTTTTTTCCCTAAACCCTCTTTAACAGTGTAGCTCTCTGTGGATTAACAATATATTTGGCATTTTGTGTCAGCACAAGTAGCAAAGTGATGTACTTTAATGCGTATAGATTTCTGCATCCAGGTTAAGATTGTCTTGTAATATTCAAATCTCCAGCCCAACCTTATACCTCTGAAAAGCTTGTACAAACATGACAAATGAGAGCTGCTGGTTATAGGTTATACTTCATTATCATTATGAACATTATGACCAGATGGGTCTTTTTAAAATTTTGCCAACTGGCCTCGTACTTTTGGCCCCCAAAAAGCAACTAATTATATTAATTGTTGAAATTAGCAGCTCTAAGTCTGCGTTCATGGATCTCTGTGGGAAAAGGATGGACTGCACTGTTTCTTGTCTAATGTGCGTCGGGATCTCGTACGTCAGTGGTCGGAGAATGGATTGAGAAATTGACAGGCAGATCATGGAGTGTCTTCAGCAATGTGGAGAGATGGGAGCCTCAAGCTGCGGGTAGTGACCTAAAAAATAAGATCACAGATACAAGCGGTGAAAATGAGTTTCCTCCAAAGAGTTTGGAGGGATGAGGCGTGGAGCTCAGTCCTTCAGAAGAGACTTAAAGTACATCTCTTTTGCAATGAGCCAGATGAGGTGGGTAGAATGCCTCACAGATTCTTCCTGGGTCAGGTGAAGTGTGCATGTCCAATTGGTGGGGGGGACCTGAGGGCAGACTAGAACAGGCTGAAGGAAATCTGTCTCCGGCTTGGCTTAAGGCCGCCTCAGGGGAGGGGGTGGTCAGTGTAGCTCTGCTGAGACTTTGATTAAAGGAGCACTAAATTCCCAGGAATTAAAGAAATGTAAAATATTTTGGAGCATAGTTAATAGGATGCTTCCTAATAGTTGTCGGTTGATTATTACGAAATGTATATTTGACATATTAAAATAATTCTGATTCAGATAATGAAGGTCCTGAAGACTAAATGTGTTAATAGGATATGAATACAGGTTAAAACGTGAGTCCTCTCCAGGTTGTTGTGAAAATTGATAATAAACATGCTAAAATACTGCTGCATTGTACTTTTCCTTGACACCCAGTTGCTTAATACATACAGAGACACTGTCAGGCTCCTACTTAATATATTGCATTAAATTATAATGCATGTGGAACAGGATATCCGCAATCTTTGAGGACATTTTCTTTAATGGGACTTCCTTAAAATTGAGATTTAAAGAACTCTTGCTGTCCTCACACTTAAAAGAGGGCTTTTCCTTCCAAACTGACTGTTAATATGTTCATTGCATTAATTAGCAGCTGCTAGGATTAGCCTGTGCTTTGCTAATGAGACAGAGGGACTTAATCTCAATGAAAACAAGTATGAAATCACAAACTTTAAAGATGATCTATTACAGTTTTCCTTATACTTGTCACACATGTGTAGTGTGACAAATGCTAAAGGCTCAGTTTCAGACTGTTTTTTGTGCTCGTGGCTCTGTATGATGTAGTTAAGAGCAGATATTCCTAATATGGTCATCTCAGTCACAGGGCTCCACCCACATGCTGTTCAAAGCTTTTGTTTGCGAGGGGTAGCCAATCGGAAGAAAGCTGGCAGAGGAGGCCAACCTCAACAGCAGGCTGATGTGAGGTTTATTTTATCTGGATCTTGTACTTTAAAATATGTCTGGATCACCTCATGGTTTTTTTTTCTATTAGCTCTTTATGTGTTATTTGATTTACTCGGTTTATTACAATCTGCTGGAGAAGATGACAGCAGTTAAATTGTCATTTACGGCCATCAGACCTCCACAGCTCACTGAAGCTGGACTATCTGTCCACACCGCTGCTGCCAGAGCTACGCGACTGCAACTTAGAGTGGCTCCATTTAATGCCCTGTCTCACTCGCTAAGCCTGACAGAGGCCAGACCGGGGTGTGAGAGGGGTCAGCACTCTGCCCCTGCCAGAACAGGAAGAGCCATTTAACATCACCCAGCAATTACGGTAAAAATGTCTCATGTCAGAAGCTAACTGGATAAATGAGACGAAGGTCTTAGTTAATGGCTCCCTATATAAAAGCCCTGCCAGATTGTTGTAGCTTCAGCAAAAGCGGTCTGGAGTGAGTCTGAGCCAGTACCTGCTCCATGGGCCTGCGGTCTTGTAGGCAGAACCGTGAAAGAATCCCACCAGTTTTCCTAGAAGCTCCTGACATTGTTGTTTTCCTGGAGGGACACAGGAAACCTGAACCTTGTGCCACAGCTGTGAGTGGTTTGCCTCCCGCTTTTCCCCTCGCTGTCTCTCTCTCCTGGCCTTCTCCTCACCCCTCGGGTTTCTCCTCGAGTCTCCTCTGTAGACTGGGAACATGTGCGCGCGCCCACACACACACACACACACACACACACACACACACACACAAATGCCATTGTGACTAACCTCGCTCTATCTCCGTCTGCCGATCTAGACAACCGGTCATTTCACGCAGACATGCATAATTGTGCAGCTATTTAAGTGTAAGCATAGATATGTAGTGTTGTGGTCTCTCCCCTTGTGTGCGTTTGTCATTCTTTTGTCTGTGTGTGTGCTTTTACCAGCACTTGCCATTCAGTCCCCTCCACAAACCTTACCGAGGGCACGGAGTACAACTTTTGTGTATAATTGTAGAGCGTCTCGGGTTGACTGTAACATTTATACATAATTGCAATGTTTATGTTTCATGTCCTCTTGTATATGACTGTGCAAGTATTTACATGTATACACTTTCATCCAACCTCAGCACGAGTACATTTTCTGTTTTGTCAGTGGCTGCTGACCTCCGGCCAGCCTCGTAACGCTTCGACCGTTGCCAGTTTTGGTCCCTGTTTAGTCTAGACACACATCCTGAGCTGATCTGCATGACACCCAGACAACAGAGAGCAGATAGTGGCATTTCTCATGTCTGCAGGCAACTTCTTTTTTCCTTTCTCTCTTTTCCGCCTGATCTCTCTCCGTTTCTCACTCACTCTCAAATTCCGCAGACTTTAAGAAGTTCAGACAAAGAGTTTCCAGACTTTGGCAGAAGTTCATGTCCACGCTAAGGCTGAGCGGAATAGTGCAGGCTTTGTACTGAAATTTGTCAAATGTTTGACCCCAGCATTTGAACTGAAGCCCGCTCTGTACCGATGCTCAGTGAGTTTTTGTTTTTTACTGCCAGTGGCTGTTCCACGGAGCAGACCATCTGTTCCAGGGCACAGCCAAGCTGTGGTCTGCAGACAGAAGAATGAGAGACAGATAATGACGGAGACTCTGAGTGATGTAAATGATACAGAGCAGTGGGAATTATCCAAAGTGTGCGGGGAGACGAATACATCCCAACACACGCTAGTTTACATGTCTTTCTGAAGTTGATGAATCCTTTTTTTTCTTTTGTTCTTTTTACTCCTCCTTTCATCTCTATTCTCATTTCCTGTCTGTCTGATTGGCTTCTTCCTCTCCTCTTTGCCTCTCTCACTCTCTCCTGAACAGATCAGAGACTAGACTTGAACAAACTGAGTCCCAACGACAGCGACACAGTCAGGGGCCAGATAGTGGGTGAGTACGGTTTTGTGTGCCCGCTGTAAAACTATCCGGTGATACTTTATAACTTCCTTTGACAGAGGTTGTAGAAGAATCGCAGTGTTCTGTTTTGCTTCTCACGTGTATAAACAGCTCAAAATGAATGCGACCTGCCAAATGTTGCTTGAAAATCTGCTTCATTTGTCACACACAAAATACATCACTGAAGCTCAGATTTACCACGTGCTCCCTGCAGAAGTTTAAAAACAAAAAAAGATCTGGAAGGAAATGCATTTTTGTTTAACCAGACCCTTCAGCATACCTCCTGATTTGAAAAAAATATATATATATATTTTTAAAAGAAATAACCTTTTCCCTGCTTCTAATAAAGACACAAAGTTCCATTTTGTGCATGGATAAAATATCTGTGCCTACGCTGTGAGCTGCAGTCTAGTAACGTGTGTGTGTG